TGTGTGTGTGTGTGTGTGTGTGTGTGTGTGGTGGGGGTCCTTTGGTATCTATGTCTTCCCTGAAATCCTACTCAAAGCCTGCATTTGGCTGTAATTTCAGTGATCAAACATCACAGACAGGATGTACGGTATTCATTAAAATGCATGTGGCAATTTATTATGAACATTTTTATGAGCAACTTTCATGACAATGAGTTGACTTAAAGTAATTTTTGAAGCAGGATGTTCTGATTAAGTTGGGATAAATTAGCGTAATTTTCATTCTACTAAAATTGACACAAAGCCCTATTTCCCAACAACTTTTAACAAAGTTGGTATTTATTTATTTAATTATTTATTTATTTATTTATTTTGTTGCATCCAATAAAATAGCTTGAATACATACATATTTTGGGCACACACCTAATGGGGGGCAGTGAGGGGGCATTGGGTTTTGGGGGGGTGGTCATTGCCCCCCCTGGCTGCGCCCCTGTCCTCCTCCTCATAACTGATTTGAGCCTGAAGCACCTGATACCTGTTTTCATGTTCACCTCAGATGATTTCAGCTCATCTTGGTGAGGTTCGGCCGGTGTGTGTATGTGCGCGCGTGCGTGCGTGCGTGTGTGTGTGTGCGCGCGCGCCCTGGGTCACGTGTGAGCCTGTCCCGGCAGGAGTGGGAGCCTCCGCCGCCCCGCAGCTCCTCTGGGCGGACGCTTCCTCTCCGAACCACCGCCTCTCCTCCTCCAACTGCAGCGGGACAGCCTCACGCCGCGGCTCCCCGCCATCCAAGCCTCCGGGACTGCCGTCAGCACCCGCGTCCAGAAAAGAGCGACGACGGCACGGGAAGCCCCGTGTCTCCGAGATGAGCGATGGTTCGGTCAAATTAAGGCCGTTGTTGTGTCGCCAGAGAGGGAAGCTTGTTTTCGGAGCCCCGCCGCCCCTCCGCTCTGCCCGAAGGATCTGATTCAAAACCAAGATGGCCGCCGACTCCGTGCAGGTAGGAAAAGTTGACAACTGGAGTGAAAAGTGCGCAAACTTTCTCCTGGGGTTCATTAAAAAGTTACGKAACAGTTATATTTGAGTAAATTAAGATCTGTGAGTGTCAGAAAAGTTGTGTTTAAAGACAAAAAGCGGCGACAGGAGTGCAGAGGAGTCTGGGAAGTTTTCCATGGATCGAGGCCTGGGAAACAATTATCCAAACTAACTTATCCTCAAATATCCAACTTTACAAACCCGAGCTTTACTTTGGTTTTTATTTACAGAAGCTGTTGGATTAATTAGTGCGCGTTTCATTTCGGATAARAGACTTTAATTGAGCTGTGGTTAAACAATAGTAGAAAGTATGACCTCATAGTTTAAAGTTAACATGAGTTACTTATGGAAAGTTAAGAAGAACTGCACTTAGTTTTTTAAAGTTAATAAAATTGAGTTTTTGTAATACAAAAGTTCTCAGAAGTGTTTTAGATCAACAAAAATAACTCAAGCTGTCAACATGAACTTCAGTCAGTAAATGTCTGCTCTACATAATAAATATGTTACATTTAAAACTTCCTAAACTGCATTTAATGTAGCTAAAAAAGAAGATAAAATAAAGTGTTAAACCTGGTTGAGAATAAAGTAAGTTACGGCAAATTTTGTGTGCAAAAATACATTTCTCCTGCTGTTTTAAAKTTTTTTAAAACTCGATTTATCTTTTCATATAATTTAATAATTGCCTTATTTCACCACAGGATCAAATAAAACTTTGTATTAAAACAGGCTGGTGTTGACATCAAACTCTGTGATTAATAGTTTAATTAATTCATCAATTCATTAGATATCTGAAGTCAGGACACTTCAATATTTGGTGAAAATTCTTTAATATATTAGTAGTGCAAGTTGAAAGAAAACTTTTTAGAAATAAAGAGACATCTGTGGCCAAGCAGAGATGAAAATTAAAATGTGCAGATAATTAACTACATAAACGGTTAGTTTCTTAACCTCAGAGGGAAATTCAAGTCGCAGTTTCACTTTGCACAAGGTCAATAAGATCACAAATAATAATTAACAAAAAAGGAGAGATAAAAAGTAAAATACAAACTATGAAAGATAACCAATAAAATAAAACAATGAAGACTGCAGAAATCTATTGCACTAAACACCAAAAATATTAAACAAACCAATAATCTTATTTATCTTATCTATCCTATCTAAGTTCCCTCTGGGATCAATAAAGTATTTTTGAATTGAATTGAATTGAAAAGATGCCAAATAACTCCATGTATTAAACACTGAAGCACACAGGTCCAGTTAATGTCATTTTCAGTTATTTTTTCCATCAGATCAGATCATCCAGGGCTTTAAAAGACACTTTGAGGTCAACAGATTGTTAAATGTGTTAAACAAATGTTGCTCAGAATATAGATGAGTTTCTAAAAATACAGTGACACCTGTATGTCTGTGTGGCTTTGATTGCTAACGTCTGAGYTGAATATTCAGTGTAGCCACAGAAATCCTGAAATAAACTGAAAAATTTGCCAGGGGATCTTTGGAAAATAACAAAAAAAACAAAACAAAACATAATTTTCAGGTACATCTACCAAACAAAGTCTATCGCTGTACATGTGTTGATGCAGAACTCACCTGTCCCTCTGATCAGGGATTGTAAAATGCCTACTATAAAAAATAATGTTTGGTTAAWAATCAGGAGGACTCAAAAATAAATGTAGAAAGTCCACAAAGACACTTTTCAGAGTCAAAGGTTCATTTATTATTATCAGTCAATCYAGAAAACTGTCATATTCAGAACAAAATGTTCTTTTTATTCAAAACAACAATAAAAATACTTATTAAAGTAAATCCTGTTCCATTTTTAACAATTCAAATGCTTAAAAAAACTGCAAAAATTCATAATGTATGTCAGGAGTGGAGTAATACAAATTTAAATATAAATACAAACGACCACACACATTGTAAAATAAAACAAAATGTCTCTTTCACTTAAATCAAYCCCTTCGTAGAATTGTTTTGTAAAGCTATCAGAAAGCTAAATGCAATAAAAACAGTTTAACATCGTGTCAGACACCGTTGCTCTCGTAAAGCCTTGTCAGGTTAGAAATCTTGTCCAGAGCCTTGGTTTCTGAGCAGATTAGTCCCATTAGTTTGGTTTTGGTCGGTGGGAAGACGAGGTGTTCGGTCCATTCCCTTTTTTTAATTTAGTGTTTTCACAGTTCACCTTTCTTTCAATGCGTTTTGTACCCAATCTAAGAGCAGACGTCCACAAAAACACTCCTCTATTCGCTCAACGGTTCTTCTTCATTTGTGTCCTGTTTGGATGTTGACCCCATCAGAAGAGCAGTGTTTCCTAACGCAGGGTCACAGCACAACAAGGCTTATTGTCAAATTCAACACTTTGGTTGATATTAAACACACTGAGTTCTTATGGGCCAACCAGAACCACTCTGCACAAGTCCAGCTGGCCTGCCAACCTTAATGCTAACAACAGTGTTTGTGCTCCGCTTTACTGGTTTTCTTTATTACACAACGTTCTGTTGGGCATTACGTGTCTGTGATGTTTGGTACTGGTTTGCTTCTGGAATATATTGTTGATGTGGTGAACTCTTAATCAGAGAAATAAAATGAAACAAATAATTGAGAAATATGCTCCAACAATATAAAGACCATGTAGTGGATCACAGTGGATCAGTGGGTACYGCTTCACAGTAGTGCTGGGCGGTATACCGTTTTGTACCAAATACCAGTTTTTATTTTTGTTATACGAATTTTCTGAAAACCGGACATACCTGTTTAAAATAGCCTGAACACGTGCGGAACGTTTCGTCGYGGCCGCCAGTGAACTGTTTCCTGGGGGAAACTTTTCCTCGCAGCACCGCTATGTGCGTTAGCATGCTAATGTTATTGTTGGAGTAACTGGTGGCGGGTGGTGTTTCAGCTGCTTATATTGACTGACATTAAAAAGACATCCCGTTTTCACCATCGCTGAATGTAGTGAACACATCTTCAGTGACGAGCACGGTTAGATTTAACCTGCGACGTTAATACGGAGACATTAACGCATGGAGACTTTTAAAGTGCTTCTATTATGAAAAGCCCGGGGGAAGTAGTTTTGTTGTAGAGTTGAGTTGACTGGTGTGCAAGGTGAGTCGTCCTGATATTAAAAAGCATAACTCAATAGACCCGATTTTAACCCTCCTCCTTCACAACTGGACCAAAATGTGTGACCACTGTCCACAACCACCAGTCAGAGAAAAAACACATAGAGGAGGGAAACAGAGACACAGACAGAGGGACAGTAAAAGAAAAAGTTAATAAGCAGGGTTTGTACATTTTATTTTCAGCTGACCTGTGATGAAAGAAAAATACTGTGAAGTACTGTGACACCGGTGTAAATGTTGAAAATACTGCCCAGCACTGCTTCATGGGTTCAAGTCCATGATTTGAACCTGAGAGTTTACATGTTCCCTCATGTTTCTAGGTTTGCTCAGGTCTCCTTCCACAGTCTGAACCCGCCCCRCCTGTATAATGGWAGGGGAAACACTGCAGTGATAATGTTTTGAGMGTTTCATTAAAATCTGCACAGTGGGTCTCAAGATATTTTGCTGACAGAGTTGAGTTCATTGCTGTTTTAAACAGAGCTTGTGTGATCAGTTAAAGCTCAGTGTGTATCGGGGATCAGTCTCAGCTATCACCACACCAAACCTGGACTCAATATCTGTCAAATGTAATGTGTTTTTGCTAGCTGTGGCAGCCATCTTGGTTTGGGTTGAATTAGAAAAAGAATCAATGATTTTCTAAAATTTGTCAGCTTCATAAGACTTTTGGATGACAAACACACAAATGAGCACACAGATTTGTTTTGCCTTGTGGCAGTGAGAGATGATAGTTTGTGTTCAAAGTAATATTCAAGGGAACAAAACTCTTAGTGTTAGATTTGATACATGGTTAAATCATTTGTTTGTTTCAGTTAACTATTATTCCTGCAGTGACTGATACTCAAACAGACCTGACTTCACACCTGACGTGTGGATGTGAGAAAAAGTTGCAAGTGCAGTAGAATAATGATCTTTTGTGTTAGCGCCGTTAGCCTTTCTGTCTGTAACAGAGGGTTCTGTCAGTAAGCCTTACCTCTTTTTTAAAAGTTACTAGCTACTAGCGTTTCCTAATACAACGTGCTTCATGACAAATASAGGTTGAAAGTTCAAAAGGGCAAAACAGAAGAACTTTTCAGTAATTCATACTTCCTGTCTGTAATTTCTGCTGAAGCTTCGTTGCTCTCAAAAAGAGACCCTCATTCTTGTAGAAATCCTTCTTTTAATAGCTTAGCTATGCTTCTGAGTTTGTTTTTAAACATCRAACACATGGTAGGGTGATTTAAGGTTTAATCATCAATATATTTATTTTTTCAAGCAGGATTAAAAACTAACTGAATCAACAGAAGTCAGCACCTGGAAAAATATATCAGCGGTAAACAGTGAAACGCTGATATTTGCTGGGGTTACAATCTCAGGGTAATCACAAATCATGAAAAAAAGKGAATATTTAGATGTGGTCCAAAAAAGGTCTACAGCACATTTGTGGTGGCATCAATACAGTGAGAACCAAAGAAAAACACGAGAGTTAAACAGCAGCTACACCACACAGGACTGTTAGGCCGAAATGTTTTACTCCTGGTGGAGCATGGCCACAGGGCATACCATACGTCACGTAATGTACCGTATTTTTATTATTCTTTTAATTATGGAACTGCATTTACATTAATATTTATGTTACAAAATTAATAAATTATTAGGGATGCATGATGACTTGTATTAGTGAATTATCGGTTTTGAACTTGTGGAATGACTTGTGGAATGATTATTAATATATGATTTAAAACATTTTTCTACCTGAAACAGTGCTTCAGAGAGTGTGAATTCATTATGACCACATCATACTTACAGGAAGACACACAGAGGTAGCAGCAGCTCGGCTGGTAAACTGACGCTAACGATGGTAAAC